TTATATAATCAGTTATTAAAGAACCATATTCAATGCAGAAGATTTTTTAACCGTGGTATTTATAGTATTGTAAGGTTTAGGTCTACTGTACAGTTTCATCCTTTGTGTGGGGATCATACGCTGGAATCAAAAATGACATGCATATATCCAAAATGGGTTTGTTTGCAGGGTATAGCAAACTTTTTTAATGAATCATCAAATATGTTTATAAAGAATGTAATGCATACAGTGACTCATAAAACTATGTAATAAGAAAACGACCTTTTAGCAATTCTATCTGTATTTTATGTGTGGCTGATGTTTCTTTGAAGCAAAAAATTTCTCCAAAAGCTTGAAAATTCACATATTTAAGAAACTGGGCTTTTAGTTGTGGCTTTATCTGTGAGAATCTTCTCTTGGTGCAGTATACAAAAAAAATGAAAAAAAAGTTTGCAGATTTATATTTTCGCGCATTTTCAAAATTTTACAAAAATAAAAAGACATATAAACACAAATTTATGAAATTTTGATCATTCATAAACCTTCCCCGGGGTCATGTTGGGGTCCCACAAAAAATTCAGTCCCGATCGGTTCAGCAGTTTTGACGTTTATTGGATACAAACAGACAGACAAGCAAAGTATATTTATAGATAGATAAGTAAGTTTTTCATATTTATTAAATATTTTGAATCATAACTAAATTCTAACAATTGTTTTTATTACTTTTTATGGGACCCACCGCGTATATCAGAAAAAAAGGGCGTTGAATTAAACATGCTTTACAACAGAGATCAGCAATGGGCATCGGTTTATTTTGAACGAACGAAATTTTTGAAAACAAACGAAACTTTTCGTGGAAAAACGAGTCGTTCAGAAACGATCGTTTTTTACCGAATGAACAATTTTTTCGTTTTTTTAAATAACTCGATTTTTTCGTTCCCGAACGATGCACGAACGAAATGAAAAAAATACGAACGTGCCCATGTCTACTTTACAGGGGGGACCAACTTATTCGTGAGCAATTTCAGGAATTGCTTGTTTTTGTGGGTTGGGCAACAGTATCACAGATAGAAAGATAGATAGTAAGAAGCAGTATATTTCGATGAATAGATGAAATAAGCGAAATAAATAGATGGATGATATAATCTGTAAGAAATACTGAAATGAAAAGATTAATAGTTTAAGGCATAATACAGACAGTTATATATAACTAGCTGAGGTGCCCATTAAATTTTGATTACACTTTTTGGAGAAGATATTTCGAATTTGTTCACCCGGAAAGCCTTAGGGTTCCCTAAAAAAATTTCAGACAATTTGGTCCAGCCGTTTGGCCAGCTATAGCTAACTATATGTATTAGAGAAGAGCTTCATTTTATACAAAGATATACATAAGACAAAAATCTATGCATAAATATTGTAGACTCGGCTGCTATTTTGTCAAAACGGCTGAACCGATTGGGCAAAATTTGTTGTGATAACTCAGAGGACCCGGCCAGTAAAGGTTTATGTTGTGATAACTCAGAGGACCCGGCTAGAAAAGGTTTATGTTGTGATAACTCAGAGGACCCGGCCAGTAAAGGTTTATGACCGGCCAGTAAAGGTTTATGACCGGCTGAAATAAAAAAAATTAATTAATTGCCTAGAAAATTGGTTGATTTGATTTTTTTTGGAAATCACTCAAAATAAACTAAAATCTTCGAAGTTGTTGGTTTTATTGTGTACGAAGAAAAAGGCGACATTTAAAACTTCAAGAAGTTTCTAGATAACTTTCCTTTTTGATGACATGGGGATAAAAACCATTCCGCCCCCCTTCTTTAGTTCCAAAACGGTTTCAAAATTATCCCAAAATGTAAACAATCTGCTGCCAAATAGAAAATAGATAAGTATAGCGTGGAATTAAGCCGAAAAAGTGTAAAACCGCCATTTTGTTGTACGGATTTAATACTGCAGGTGTACTTCACATATTTGTGCAATATAACCTTTTGGGCCTTTGAAAATATTTTCACATGAATTGTACACTTTGAACTCCTTTTCAGATTCAAAGAGACTGAACAAATTCATACTGTGATAGTATTATTTCCCTTCTATTTTAATCTCTGTTCTGTGCCTCCTGCCTTGGAATATTGTTGGATAAAATCTCTAGTGCGTTAGTATCTCTATATATGGGTGTGGTATTACTAGAGAGAGAGAGAGGGGGTAGCTTAGAATCTAAAAACAACGCTAAAACATTCTCGTCGGCCACCCAAGTTCCCTGATCAAAATTAGAGACAAATCAGTCTATGGGTTCCTGAGTTTTGATCGAACATACAAACAAACAGACAAACAGAGATTACAACTTTATATATAATATAGATGCATTGGTAATATTTACAGTCAGACCAAGGTTATCTCTGCAAGAGAGGGGTGCAGCAAAAAACGTAAGTGCGTCAATGTTAAATATTGAACATTTTTCGGCGTATAGCTCACCCTGGACTAATTCCATCCTTTCTTCTATTTAAATTTTACTACGCTTTTATTTCGTAAATCTTTCAACATAACTGAATTGTCTTAAACTATTTTTTAACATTTTTTTCATTAAAACGCATAAACCGTCATAGAAGTATGAAAGAAAAAACTTCGATAAATGTCATGGTTAATAGGTTAAATTGTGATCAAAACTCACGTTTTCCTGGTCTAAGTACCGAACTGTTAAATCCCCGTGAGGTGCCTTAAATAAAATTTAAATAATGAGTTAATTCTTTCTATTTCCCCGCTACAGGGTCCAGACCCGTTATATGTAACCACAAAGGTTAAACTTGTTAAACATAATTGAAAGTCAGAGTTGGGATGTTTTTATGTATTTAGAGGTACTAATATCTTCTTGCGTGCAATTAGTTTTTACTCTAGCGTGCAATTTGCTTTTACTCTAGCGTGCAATTTCTTTTTAGTCTAGCGTGCAATTTACTTTTAGTCCAGCGTGCAATTTACTTTTAGTCTAGCGTGCAATTTACTTTTAGTCTAGCGTGCAATTTACTTTTAGTCTAGCGTGCAATTTGTTTTGTCAACTATGAGTGGGCGTAATAAAGGATGATACGAAAATGTTGACTCGGCATATTTTAAAATTAACGAGGTTATTAAACTTTTTAAAAAGTTTTGAAAAAACCAAGTTGATGAATTCTATCCTCGACATGTTCATCATTTTTAATCCGATTAAGTAGATTTTATTGTTTATCGTTTAACTCAGTTGATAAAGGGACTGTAATCGTAATTTCAAGTGACCCTCGATACTAACATGACAATGCCCGATTTACAATGTTTCCCTTGAAATCTTGATCTGATAAAAATATGGAAGATGCTGTGCTTTTCCTGCCTAAAAACTTTTTGAAATCTGATAATTTCTCCAACTATTTTTTATACAAGTAATGCACATTGTAACTTTTGCATAGAAACCGCAAATTGATGAATTGATCAGCTTTTGTACCGATCTGATTAAGTCATAAGATAAATTGATTATGCTAATTCCATGATGCAATTGATAACTTTGTCTAGATAGTGTATGTATGCACTGTTTGTTGGTTTGAACTGCATGCATTATTGTCCTTGAAAATAAATTGCACAATTGTTTTGTATTGTTAGGTTGCATTCAGGGCCAATTTGGTTACATTCAGGGCCAATTATAGGGACATTGAAGTCATATTTGGGTTGCATTCAGGGGCCCTTGAGTGGGACATTTTAGTCATAGTCGGGTTGCAGTTAGGGAGCCCTAGAGTGGGACATTGAAGTCATAGTTGGGTTGCATTCAGGGGCCCTTGAGTGGGACATTGAAGCTATAGTTGGGTTGCATTTAGGGGCCCTTGAGTGGGACATTGAAGCTATAGTTGGGTTGCATTTAGGGGCTCTTGAGTGGGACATGTTAGTCATAGTCGGGTTGCAGTTAGGGAGCCCTAGAGTGGGACATTGAAGTCATAGTTGGGTTGCATTTAGAGGCCCTAGAGTGGGACATTGAAGCTATAGTTGGGTTGCATTTAGGAGCCCTGAAGTGGGACATTGAAGCTATAGTTGAGTTGTATTTAGGGGCCCTAGAGTGGGACATTTAAGTTTAGTTGGGTTGCATTTAGAAGCCCTTGAGGGACATTCAAATCATAGTTGGGTTGCATTTAGGGGCCCTGAAGTGGGACATTAAAGCTCTAGTTGAGTTGGATTTAGGGGCCCTGGAGTTGGACATTTAAGTTTAGTTGGGTTGCATTTAGGAGCCCTGAAGTGGGACATTGAAGCTCTAGTTGAGTTGGATTTAGGGGCCCTGGAGTTGGACATTTAAGTTTAGTTGGGTTGCATTTAGAGGCCCTTGAGTGGGACATTCAAATCTTAGTTGGGTTGCACTTAGGGACCCTGGAGTGGGACATGTTAGTCAGAGTTGGGTTGCATTTAGGAGCCCTGAAGTGGGACATTTAAATAATAGTTGGGTTGCATTTAGGGGCTCTGGAGAAGGGACATTTTAGTCATAGTTGGGTTGCATTTAGGGACACCGGAGTGGGACGTTTTAGTCATAGTTGGGTTGCAGTTAGGGGGGTAGTAGGCCTGTAGTGGTAAAAGTCTACCAATGAACTATTGGTATAAGTGTACTTTACATGTTTCATAGGTATAGGTGTACTATTATACTCGACATAGATATGAATGTACTAGTGTTCTCTAGGTAGGTATGGGTGTACTTATAGTGTACTCTAGATAGATATGAGTGACTTGTGTACTCTAGTTAGGATTGAGTTTAATAGTGGGCTAGTTTGCTTTTGTACTGTAGGTACAGGCGTACTTGAGTACTAGTCTAGTGTACATGTGGTTTTGAGTGTTCTATATACTATACATTACATAGGTATGAGTGTACTAGTGTACTATACTTAGGCATTAGTTCACTATTGTAATCTAGTTATAAGTGTACTTTTGTTTTATAGATATGTGTAAACTAGTGTACTTATATTGTACTTTTACATTATTGTACTGTTGTTCTCTAGATATGAGTGTACTACTAAACTGTTGTACCGTAGGTATGAGTGTACTAGTGTACTCATGTACTAAACTTGTGGCTGGAACCCTCTACCCTGCCTATGGATCCTTTAAAGCTGTGAAAGAGCGGAATGTTAAGGTAAAATGTAGATAGACAGATTGACAGCTAGACAATCAGACAGATAGATAGACAGATATACCTTCAGACAAACAGACAAAGAAATAGACAGTTAGACCGCTAGACAAGCAGATTGATAGATAGACAGATAGGCAGCTAGACAAACCGACAAAGAAATATACAGATATACAGTTAGAAAAACAAAACAGACAGATAGACAGATAGATAGATAGATTAAAAGTAAAAACAACGCCCCTCCCGGCTCCCCCGCCCCCCTCAAAGAAAATGTTCATGTTTGAACCAATGACCTGATTTGTCTGTAAATTATTGCTCTCTATGAGACTATGAACGAACAGTTATAATTTATGCACGTATCGTGATAAACAGCAAGATTTAATTTATCCTTTAAATATTGAATTCAAACACTGAAGATGAATATTTGCAGAGAACCCAGTGATCATCACTTTTATTTTTTTTAAAGAAAAGGTTAAGAAGGTCTCGTTTCCCGTCTAAAAACTATCAAAAAAAAAATATATATAATAAAATATTTCTAAATTCGCTGTACCCCAATCTGCAGTCTTTACTTTTTGATAAAATAAGAATATTTGTTAAGCATCATTGATTATAAAAACGTGATTTAGGATTTCTCAAAAATAGTTATGTCACATGATTCTGTAATCTGTACCCTTTTTGGATTAGGACGATGGTATGGGGGGGGGGGTGTCAGTATGTTTTGTTTGTACAATTGACTATTCTGATTTGCAGTGTTTCGGATCCGTATCATTTTGATGCGGATCCGGATCCGCATCCGTGATGATGGATCCGGATCCTGACTCTGATACGGATCCGGATCCGGATCCGGATCCGAGGTAACTTTTGATTCTGTGAATACTTTATATATTTGAAATTTGCGCCATGTGAGCATTTGCCGCTGAGTAATCCTAAAGTTAAAAATGTCGTCATTACTATTATATAAATGTAAACATTAAATTATTAAAGATAATTTTGAAAAATTTTCGTCATGTAAATAATACATTTACGAACCATTTTGATTTATTTATTCCATGGTTTTGGTTAATTTTTGGCGCTACCCGGATCCATATCGACGTTTCCTGATACGGATCCGGATCCGGATCCGACCAAATGATACGGATCCGACCGGATCCGGATCCGGATCCGAAACGCTGCTGATTTGTGTATTGATTATTTTTATATTGTGCAGGAGTACGTGAAATGGATGACGTACTGGATCGTGTACTCGTTGTACAGTTTAGTAGAGGAGTTTACAGATATACTGATAGCCTGGGTACCCTTTTACTATACCCTAAAGGTACAGTATGTATACAGTGTTCAAATATGTTTTTATCACTTTAATCACTTGGTGTTCTGTCCTGTTTTGCCTAACATAGTCTGAATGTGTATACTGTGCAGTTAGCTCTAGCGGCTAAAACGGTGGCCGGGTACTTTAAATAAACCGAAGTTTACAGTGATATAAATCATTGTATTGTAATTTTTACTAAATTTCGCTGTAGATATACAGTGTACAACGTACAGTGTACATAAGCTGTACATGTATTTCCTAACTTTGCCTAACTTGTACAACAATGCAAAGGTACAGAATGTACACTGTACCATGAACAAATATAATATCTAGCCTTTTACTATAACACTAAATTGGTACAGTGTACAGCTATTGTACACTATATTGGCTTGGCATAATAATAAATACTTTCACTGTTTTTACTAGTGTTATACATTCTGTTCTGTATTTTTGAATTATTTACTCAATCTTTAGTTTTTTCTTCAAATTTAAACAAAAAAGTTTTTTATTTTTCGAAACTACATTCTTTTTATTTTAAACTTAATTTTTTTGATGTTGTCAAACATCTTCTTTAATATTTGTTGTGTTTAGATTTGTTTAATATTTTGGCTGGTATCTCCAACAACAAGAGGTAAATATTTCTTTCTTTAAACAAAAAATGCAACTTAAAATTTATATATATCGTATCCAATATTTCAATACGTCTGAACCGATCGGGTGCAATCCAAATTTGTTGTGCGCGTCTTAAAGACAACAATAGCATGGCTAATCGATGCTAGTTTACTATATAGTGTTTATATAGGTCTAGAACACGGTACACTTAACTGTTGTACGACAGGTGCTATAGTGTACTGTATATATAGGTCTAGCACGCAGTACACTAAACTGTTGTACGACAGATGCTAGTGTACTGTATGTATAGGTCCAGTACACAAAACACTGAACTTTTTATGTACTAGGTACTAGTGCACTGTATATATAGGCTTAGTACACAGTACACTAAACTGTTTATGTCCTAGCTGAAAGTGTACTGTATATGGTATATATAGGTCTAGTACACAGTAAACTAAACTGTTTATGTACTAGGTGCAAGTGTACTGTATATATAGATCTAGTACACAGTACACTAAACTGTTGTACGACAGGTGCTAGTGTACTGTATATATAGATCTAGTACACAGTACACTGCGCAGAAATTTACGAGAACAATGATAGAAACAGCAATTAAGGTAAGTTTTAATATTTTATAAAACGAAGGAATAATAATGAAAAAAATAAGTTAAAAGAAATTAATAACAAAGTTTTTTTTCTTATTTCCATCTCACAATTTTTTTTAAAAAAATGTTCAGCATTTTTTCTTTCTTTAAATTCTTTACAATTATATAAAACTAGCCTATGTCAACCCCAGGGTATACCCATAAAAATATGAAACAATTTCGTGAAAAATTGCAAAATTTTCACTGGAAACCCTGTTGGTAACTCTATCTACTGTAGGGGGGAGGTGAGCTTGTTACAACCTTGAAACGATCGGTCAGTTTAGGTGACCTGACAGAGGAGTCAGAGCAAAAAGATCAGGTACAGTTTGTCCCATGAAATTGTGGGGGAAGAAAGACGTCAGTTTAACCATCATATGTGTATTGGATGATGTTATAAAGCAAATATTTTTTCAAGTAGTTCGAACATCAACTTTAAGATAAATGGGTCTATGTACATTGCACATATACTGTTTCAAATGATCATTGAACTATTAAAACCCAAAACTTCAGGCAGACAGTCGTCCTATATATTCCAGAGTTTATTGGTCACACTACATACAGGCCCGGGGGCCACATCAATATCACTAGAAGGGGATCAGTACAGTACAGCTTGTACGGTACATAGGATGAGACTGTAATTACGAAAGGAGGCGCAAAGCCTAGTTAAATTAAACTTGTTTGTATATTTTAAAATACAGTACAGTTTGTATTCAATACACTTTTTGTCAAAAATAATGTTTTTTTTCTTCAAGTTTTCAATTTGTCTTTTGATTCCTATGTTTATTTGTACACACTGTAAGTGTACAAGCATCGAAATCTCTTCATTATAACTATTTATAACACTATTCTTTTGGTTCGCAGTGTTATAAAATTTTTGAAACAGAAATTTTCCTTTAATTTTAATTTTATTTTCATTTATGTTTAAAGAAATATTATGAAAATATATCCAAAATTTTTTTGAAAAAATCCGGGAACCAATCAAAACACACGGTGAGTACTTTTAAAGGACTTTCATAATAAAATTCATACCATGAATTGAGTAAGGATGATAAGTACCTACTAGTTTCATAAAAATGTTTAGGCACCTTCACTTGAGAAAAGAAGAAGAGAGATAATGACCAAATCTTGGCATGAAGATTACCAAGAAGGTCCAAGAAGAGTTAGACAGAAAAAGGAAGGAAAAGAGGAAATGAAAGGCAGGGAGGGATCGGTCAAAAAGTACAAACAACCCTCCTCAGAACTAAGGTTGGTATTCCCCATTTAAAATTTGAAGCAAATCGGTCAAGGAGTTTATGAGTTATGATCGGACTTACAAAAAACAGGGTTTACATATAAGATAAGGAGCAAAGTATTTTCTCACCCAAGGGTTATCCAACCTAAAACTGTGAGGGAGAGGAGATAAAATTAGAAAAGCTTCGACTGTAAGCTCCTGCAAGTCAAAATACATCTCAATCAATAGTATGTACAAACCTTACCCTCTCTACCTTTAACATTCAAACCCTACCCCCTCTAACTTTAACATACAACTCCTACACTCTCTACCTTTAAGATACAACTCCTACCCTCTCTACCTTTAACATTCAAACCCTACCCCCTCTACCTTTAACATACAACTCCTACCCCCTCTACTTTTAACATACAACTCCTACCCCCTCTACCTTTAACATACAACTCCTACACTCTCTACATTTAACATACAACTCCTACACTCTCTACCTTTAACATACAACTCCTACACTCTCTACCTTTAACATACAACTCCTACCCTCTCTACCTTTAACATACAAATCCTACCCTCTATACCTTTAAAGGGAGTGTTGGCGAAAAATTAATGGGGGTATAGGCTTAATGCGATAAAAAACGCTTTTGATCTCTACTAATCTTATTTCTATCTGTTGCGTCTATAAGGCGAAAATTGTTAAAAACGACTCTCCGAAGAACGTATTTGTCCATACAAATTCAGAAAGATGCAACATTCAACTCAGATCGTAAACAAATCAATTTAATTCCAAACAAATCATTCAGATATTTCAAACAATAGTCATCGATTATTTTTTACTGTTTTATTTAAGAATCATGAAACCTCTGTTTTACTATTTTATCTAAGAATCACAAAACCTCTGTTTTACTGTTTTATCTAAGAAGCATAAAACCTCTGTTTTACTGCTTTTTATAATAATCACAAAACCTCTGTTTTACTGTTTTATCTAAGAATCATGAAACCTCTGTTTTACTATTTTACTTAAGAATCACAAAACCTCTGTTTTACTATTTTACTTAAGAATCACAAAACCTCTGTTTTACTGTTTTATCCAAGAATCATAAAACCTCTGTTTTAATGTTTTACCTAAGAATCATGAAACCCCTGTTTTACTATTTTATCTAAGAATCATGAAAACCCTATTTTACCATTTTATCTAAGAATCACAAAACCTCTGTTTTACTGTCTTATCTAAAAATAATGAAACCTCTGTTTAACTATTTTATCTAAAAATCACAAAACCTCTGTTAGGATGTTCTATCTAAGAATCATAAAGAGGTTTTACTGTTTTAAGAATCACAAAACTTCTGTTTTACTGTTTTATCTAATAATCACAAAATCTCTTTTTTACTGTATTATCTCAGAATCGAGTTTTCCAATATAACATAATCTGGTTACAATGTGGAGTACAAGAATTCTGCGTTATTGCATTTCAGCGTTAATATCTTTACAATGAAGACGAATTTTTATTAAAGTTTAAATTTCTTTAAGCTAAAATTTCCTGAAATCAGGGCGTGTCGGGAAAATGTCTAATTTGTCTAAAATTTCCGGAAATCAGGGCGTGTCGGGAAAACGTCTAATTTGTCTAAAATTTCCGGAAATCAGGGCGTGTCGGGAAAATGTCTAATTTGTCTAAAATTTCAGGAAATAAGGGTATATCGGTAAAATGTCTAATTTGTCTAAAATTTCAGGAAATCAGGGCGTGTCGTGAGTATGTCTAATTTGTCTAAAATTTCAGGAAATCAGGGTATGTCGGGAAAATGTCTAATTTGTCTAAAATTTCAGGAAATCAGGGCGTGTCGGAAATATGTCTAATTTGTCTAAAATTTCAAGAAATCAGGGTATGTCGGTAAAATGTCTAATTTGTCTAAAATTTCAGGAATTCAGGGCGTGTCGGGAAAATTGAATATCAAGAAGACGAAGGTTCTGTAAGTTGTACAGATTTAGGAATTATTATTATTTCAATGACAAAAATTTTTTTCATTCATAATTTTGAACCTTGTTAAAAAGGTGTAATTTCAACTGATTCTTCAGTTTAGTGGCATAGGCGATATTCAACCACACCCTTTAAACATTGGATGTCGGAAAATTTCTTAATTTTTCAGGCTGACATTGAGGGAGAGGAAACTTAAAGTACAAAATATTGTATATGTATACACTCCATGCATGAGTAGTTTAAAGTTTCTCATCGATCAATTTTCAGCCTGAAATAAAGAAATTCTTAACGGTACTATTGTGAATTAGACTTTCAAGCTTCCTATAAAAACAACACATTTCTTCACGTTATGGTCAAACAAGCTGTAAATATTAGAAAAGCGAAGAGCTTTGTTGTTATATATAAGATATATAGTTTGAATTTGCAGTTTGTATGTTTGAAGTTTTTATCTATTCATATAACAATAAGGATAAGTTCTATTATCAGAAATACTAAAATATTTAAACAGCTAAATATTTAAACAGAATAAAATTTTTTCTCCCGGCGCGCTCGTTTTTAGGAAATTAAAAATATAATATTTTTACTTCAAATCCAGAAATCAAATAATAATATTGAAGAAAAATATACATTTCTAAAATAAAGTTGTTTATCAGATTTTATTTAATTTTTTTCTGATTTCATCTAAGTAAATTTATCATAACATAACATTTTTTTAATTTCATTTAAATAACTATAAATCATTTTTGGATGTTAAATGAAGATAAGTTAATATCTTTAATTGTCTTCTCTCCTTTAGATTTTGTTTTAAAGTATTTATCTGATATAAAAACTTTTAAACCTGGGAAAACGACAATATTTTCCACATTTTTTATCAGATAAAGGTTTCGAGGGTACTGTTGTGAATAGGGTATGGAAGATCACTTGAAATTACGCTTACAATTTCTTTAACTAATGTTGTTTTATGTATATTAAATCATTAACAAATTTTTTATCTTTATTTCAATATTTTAATAATAATGATTTCTAGCCTACGCGACACTGCCCCGAACCAGTAAAAGAATAAGGTGGGAATATTTTTTTAGTTTAAAAAATAATTCTAAAAATTGTCGAGAGCTATTTATCAAAAATTGCATGATTATGTATTGATATATATGATTTCTGTGAATTAGAGATCTAAAGCTCTTATGCAAAAAACGGTGATGATACTTTTGCCTATCACTTCTTAGAAACTAAAGCTAACAACAAGTACTCTNTACGGTAACGATCCCTTTAAAGCTTGTTTAAATGTTTAAATTAAACCCAGCTATAGCATGCAATGGTCCGGGGTCACATTTTCTTATCCTTTTTAAACTGATTTACATTTGGGAGAAACATAATAAAATATATTGTAACCGGGTTGTAATGTATAAACCTAAAAGGATTACATCTACTAGAAATGTCTTTAGAATATATAATATACAGCGTTTTCGATGTATACAAGTCAATTTCACTTGAAAACCCGTTTTTTAGGCTTTTGGTAAAGCTATTTGTTTAAAGAAAACATCAAATGTAAACAAGATCTTTATTCCATAGTTTTATGGATTTTATGTACTCTATACATAAAATCATTTAGCCAGGAAAAAAAGAACAATTGTAAATTGAGTTTTAATCTTTTATTGAATTTTACATTTATAGACTAGTTCAAGTCGATCCAGTACAAGTTTGTACAGTACGGCAAGCCAAAGAAGACGACAAATAAAACCGAAACCCATTCAAGCCAAACCAAACATAGAAACTATACAGGTAAAGGAATTACTTACTGGCCTCAAACTCTTTGCTTTTATAGGGATGAGCATTTTTAAACGACTCTCGTTAACGAACGACAAAATTTTTAATAAAAAACTACTACAGCACAGTCGATATTGATCGTTAACTATTATAAGTGATCGTCAACGACCAACCTTCCAACTAAACGACACAAAATGTTACTTTTCTTATTTTTACAAATGATCCTTTCAGAAACGATAAATTCGTTTAGTTTTTTTCGTTTTGAACGAAACGATCAGTTGATTTTTTCTTCAGAAAAGTGAAACCTATCCTTACATCCTATCCTTATATTAATGCAATTTTATGTCTTTTGTTGTTAAAGATTTTACAGGGTGGCCCAAAAAAACAGGGATAAGGGTTTTTCAGCCCTTTTAATTGTTAAAAAACTAAAAGACGTAAAATTGGGATTCCGTGTATATTTTCATTTTATTTTAGAAGGGGTCTTAACAGTAAGGTTTTGTCGTTTGATTCTTCCATTTGATGTAAAACTATGCCGAATATTCGAAAATCTCTCCGTTACCTTGAGCCAAGGGTGTAATGCAAGGAAAGTTAATTGCGGTTGTGTATACTCGGCTTACACATTGAAACCAGTTCTCTCTGGGCGGAATTTGTAAACAAGTATAGATGCATCAATGTTCGTCTAGTATCCGAGGAGGTTAAAAGCATTAAATTTGGATAACTTTGATAATTCACATAATAGTTTCCTATGACCAGAATATTTCATTGATTTTTTTATGTGAAAGATGGATCCCATGTCAGGCTTTGACATCCATCTTCTGTTTACATTACTACCCAGAGACAGTACACTGCAGTACAAAAGATGTGTACATTTCTGAAATAACTATCCTTGTATTACATCCTTGCCTTGAGCTAACTTGGCTAACCAATATTGTTCAAAAGACAACAAATTCTTAAAAATATATCAGAACCCTCTTAGGTTTTTATATATAATATATTTATGTTTAGGATAAAGATTTTTCTATGTCCTACTCTGATACGGAGGAGAAGCGAAGTTGCAGCTTTATGTAGAAAACAAAAAATATCAAAATTAAAAAGTTAAGAAAACTTTCTTCGATTTCATCCTATCAGAAAGAGATCAAATTGCAAAACTTCATTCAGTCTTAAACAAGTTCTTTTCAAATTATCCAGCAACTTTTCTAGAACTTTTGACTTTTGAGATGAGAAATTAAATACAAGCTTTTTTAGCTAAAGAAAACATTCTTTTGTATTTTGTGTTATTACATAATTAATGTTAAATTCTTAGCAAACTAATAAAAATAATTGATTTTAACAAGTTTGCAATTCTTTGAAAATAAAAATAGTTTTCTTTCGAATTTTGATAATTCACATAATAGTTTCCTATGACCAGAATATTTCATTGATTTTTTATGTGAAAGATGGATCCCATGTCAGGCTTTGACAACCATCTTGTGTTTACATTACCACCCAGAGACAGTACACTGCAGTACAAAAGATGTGTACACTTCTGAAATAACTTTCCTTGCCTTGAGCTACCTTGGCTGACCAATATTGTTCAAAAGACAACAAATTCTTAAAAATATATCAGAACCCTCTTAGGTTTTTCTTCGGGGCTTTCTTAAATCCAAGATGTATACATAGTCCTTAACCCAGAAATCTCTGAAGAGAACCCTATAGAGAGGTTGCAGCAATCCGCGTCCTATGGTCTCAAACAGCTTTGATGTATTAATGAAAGTAATATATTTATGTTTAGGATAAAGATTTTTCTATGTCCTACTCTGATACGGAGGAGAAGCGAAGTTGCAGCTTTATGTAGAATACAAAAAATATCAAAATTAAAAAGTTAAGAAAACTTTCTTCGATTTCATCCTATCAGAAAGAAATCAAATTGCAAAACTTCATTCAGTTTTAAACAAGTTCTTCAAATTATCCAGCAACTTTTCTAGAACTTTTGACTTTTGAGATGAGAAATTAAATACAAGCTTTTTTAGCTAAAGAAAACATTCTTTTGTATTTTGTGTTATTACATAATTAATGTTAAATTCTTAGCAAACTAATAAAAATAATTGATTTTAACAAGTTTGCAATTCTTTGAAAATAAAAATAGTTTTCTTTCGAATTACCAATAAAACAAAATTTCTTTTATTAAAACTGTTAACATAATTTCCTGTGTGAATTAGGGATGCTTCTTTTTAGATGGAAGGTCACAGTCCCTTTAAGATATAGTTCAGTATTTCTTAAATTAGATGCCGAATTTAAAGAATTTGAGCCGCGGTTTAAATTTAAGCCGCGGCTCAAATTTTGTTGGTTCCACTTAGATTTGTATTAAATTTTCATGAAATAAGCCAGTGCTCAATTGAAACCGGTTTTGGCGGATTTAAAACGCGGATCAAATTCATTAAATTCGGACACAGATTAGCTGTTATTGATCCTGCTTACGTGCTTACTACTTAGGTGTCAGTTTCGAACTTTTGGCATTTTTTTATTTAAACGTCGCTGAAAATTAAGAGAATGTTTTGTTCAAAGTAAATATCAAATATTGAAATTTATTTGCAAGCTTTTTGTTTTTCGTTCAACGTGCATCGTTCTATTGTTTAAATATGGTTGTCATTAAAAATATACACAGAATAAAATATTACACATATTGCCAAATGTTTTTTTTTCTACAAAAAGCAAAAAAAAATCCCTCATCAGTCTTTTTTTCTGTAACATATTATTTTTTTTCAATAGTTTTCCAAATTAGATAATTTGTGATTTATAAAGATTTAATTTTATTAAAAAGAAATGAAATAGATTAAATTTATTAAATCTTAGAGCCAATTGATGCTCTGTTATTGATATTTATAAACTATAAAGATTGGTTGCTCTTTTTAAACCGTTATATATACAAAAATATTCTTTGTTGTGGAATTCTATATTTTAACTTGTTAGACATATTTGTGTGAATATGTATGTATTGTATATATAAATATTAATTTATAAATATTGTAAAAAACAAAAGACAGAATAAATTATGTTTTGATCATTCTTCTTTTTCATCCTCAGCCTCTAGCAGTTGAGGTATATTCATATTGGAAGATGACCTTCGCTGGTTTATTCTCTATAAAAAATTTTTTAAAATAATTAAAAATGTCGAGATGCATTCATAAATACCTATGATCTCTGAATGGTGGAGCTTGAAACTTTAAGCCTCTACTTCCATACCTCAACCACAAACAGTCCTTGGGATAAATAATTAGGGACTGGTAGCATTATTTCAAGGCGCCATCTTTGAAAGGAAAGAATGGACAATTTTAACAGTTCTTTTTAAAACTTTGACTGATCATCGATCATCTAAGTGATCTCTCAAATGGTGTTTTATATGTTTTAAAGGAGAGTGAAAACTTCAAAGTAATTACCTTTGTCAGTTGTAAGTAAAGTAATTGAGCAGTGTTGACTTAAATGTGAACTCTACACTGCTGACGTGTAACGTATATATACACAAAAATATCACCAAATATTAGCAAATTTTAAATTTTCGATGATTAGTTTATAAAGATACCATTTAAATTTTTTTCTGATCAAGGATGAATAATATTTATTTATTCAATTCAGGTTTCTATTAAAGATTTTCTTACAGACGTTTGCGACCGAGAGAAAAGCGGCAAAGAAACGGTACAAGAGTGGTAGAAAAAGAATAGAAAAACGGTAGAAAAACGGAGGAGAAATGATAGATAAACGGTAGAGAAATGGTGGAGAAACGTTAGAGAACCGATAGAAAATCTGTAGAAAAACGGTAGAAAAACGAAAGAGAAACGATAGATAAACAGTAGATAAACGACAGAGATATGGTAGAGAAAGTTAGAGAAACGGTAGAAAATCTGTAGAAAAGCGGTACAGAAACGGTACAAAAACGGCACAGAAACGGTAGATAACGGTAGAAAAACGACAATATTTTTCTTATAGTTACTCATAGAATTTAAGAGGAATTTACAAAATAAGACATGTCACTCTTTTAATAGAGGGTCATTTGAAATTACGTGTATAATCCCTTTAGAGAAATGTCTGTTTCCACCAACCTGTAATCTTGAAGCTAACTTCAGAAAAGCCTTGTTAGGTTTCTCAATGGTTTTCTCCAATTCTAATTTCAAAAAGAAATTTTCATTAAACAGATTTCCGCGGGCATGAAATAAATTTAATAATAAAAATTGTAAAAGGTTAAAATAGAATAATTTGGTTGATAAATCTTCTTATTCAGAATAAATTATTCAAATTTAGTCTAGGCATTATAATTAAAGTTGTTATCTCTGTTTGTCTGTTTGTTTGTTATCCGAACATAACTCAGGAACCCTTAACCCTAAACAGGCTGGGGGGGGGAGCGTTTGGCGCCCCCCCCAGTTCTTTTTGTCCTAGCACTCTCATTTTTCAAACTATCACTGTGTAATTTTGTGAATTTTCATAAAAAAAAATGTGGAGGAAATTTTGTAAAAAACAGGGCGGTCAAAAGTCATGTCTGTGTAAAAAAAATCTGTTATAGCCCATAACTTGTTTGTGAATAAAGCTACAGATCTAAAGATTAAATTTTTAAAAAAGCCCTTGAAAAATGGATGCAGAAAATGAGTCACACTTTGACATTTGTTGAAAACAAAATTTTTTTGTTGACATTTTTGACCTAACTATTAAAGTTATTTTTTTTAATGAGCTGGCAATTAAAAAATTTTGATATCAACGCTCCCCAATCTTTACATAGATTCATACCCCCCAGCTTTTATAAGGTTATTAGATTTGCCTCAAATTTTTATTGGGGAACTCGGAAGAACCACGGAAATCATAAGAAAAATCTATAGCTTACAGCCCCTTTTTTATTAAAAAATTTAAGAAAATAAACCTGGATAGTAGTTAGACCACATTTTATAAACTCGAGCATAATGTCCAACACTAAAATATAATTTTCTAACAATAAAATATAATTTCTAACAAAGAAATAAGATTTTCTAACATTGAATATGATTTCCAACAATGAAATATGAAATCCTACAACGAAAAATGATTTTCAACAATGAAATATGATTTTCCAACACTGAAATATGATTTTCTAACAATGAAATATGATTTTCTTACATTGAATATGATTTCCAACACTGAAATATGATTTCCAACACTGAAATATGATTTCCAACACTGAAATATGATTTTCTAACAATGAAATATGATTTTCTAACAATGAAATATGATTTCTTACAACGAAATATGATTTCCAACAATGAAATATGAAATCCTTCAACGAAATATGATTTCCAATAATGAAATATGATTTCTAACAACCAAATATGATTTTCTAACACTGAAATATGATTTTCTAACAATGAAATATGATTTTCAACAATGAAATATGATTGCCAACACTGAAATATGATTTTTTAACAATGATATACGATTGCCAAGTTGCCAACAATGAAATATTATTGCCAAGTTGCCAACGATGAAATATGATGATTTTTGAAAACTCTAAATTGTTTAACCTGTAGTCGGCACTGCTTAGTTTGGAAATAGTTGAATACATACGCTTGGTGTACTGCAAACTTTTAGCACACACCCCTATACAGTGAACAGTGTACAGTAGTGCACAATATACATTAGTGTATTATAGTATAGCAAATAGTTTCTAGTACAATAGATGGCAACATAGAATTTGTAGTCTCAGCACAGCTGTATTCTGACGTCACAAGTGTCAATTCAGTTTTTGTGTCTGACAAAATTATTAAGAATAGTCATAATATTAAAATAATTTATTGTGTTCTTTATTTTCTGTTTTTACTCTTATTTATTTAATCTTGGAAAACATGTCAACAAAAGTGAGAACATTTAGTTTTCCTTGTTATATTTGACACTTGTTACGTCGTCTATAATTGGTTCATTTCGTTCGCTGTTGCCACCTATTGTACTTGATAATCTATTTGGTGTATAGTGTAGAGCATGGAATGTGTAGAGTGTAGAGGTGTAGAGGTGTAGAGGTGTAGAGGTGTAGAGGTGTAGAGGTGTAGAGGTGTAGAGGTATAGAGGTGTAGAGGTGTAGAGGTGTAGAGGTGTATGACTATCAAGTGTACAGTTTTGATTTTTGAGTGTGTAGTTTAAATGATTGAAAAATTAGTTTAAGCCAAAAAATCTATTTGAAAAAAGATTAAAGACGAGAAATAAAAAAAACACTTTAAAAACCGATTTTGATCCGGGAAATTTTTATTTTGAGGGTTTTCCACATAATAAAGATTTTTAAAGTTTAATATATTTGAAAAACTTGTTGTTTTCTGTTGTGTACCTGGTTTAGTCACAGTTTTGGTGAGAAACTCGTGCATTGGCCATTGTTTAGTACAAGCTATACAGTTACATTTAAACCTAAAGAACTCGTTTAAAAACAAATAATCTATTTTGTTCAACAAAATTATTACAATTAAAGGACTATTCATTTGAAAGAGAGGACGACATGTCCGATTCACCACGGTACCTTAAGAACCATAATCGGATCAATAATTTGGAAAATGAAAAAAAAGTAAAATTCTAAAAACTTCTCCATAGCATTTGCTTGTGTTTCTGAAGCAAGAAATGCGCAACCGCAAGCCACTTAAACAGAGAAACCACAAATGAAATGAAACAATTTTTAAAAACAAAATCCTGAATATTAAGTTTATACTTGATCTGACAAAGCTTGTAAGGGTACCATCGTTTATCTGACATTCCACTCTTTCAAAGGAGGGTTCCCTGACATTACATACTCTTAAAGGGAAAATTTCAGTTAACTAAAAGTAACGTCGCGATGAGAAAATAAAAATTAAATTCCAATAAAAAATTATTTTAGCCTGATCGGATTAAATATTATTTTTTTTTGCGGAAAAAAATTTGAACTTTTGGAACTATTTTTAAGTTCTTTTATTTTGCCTTTTCAAATGATACAAGATTTATAAATTATGATTCCAACCTATAGTGAGCTTGAAGCCATTTCTGACGAGTAGCAAACAATTTGTCCTAGACAATAGTGGATAAATAAAGTGAAACTGTGGAATTTAATAGAAAGACGACATTTAAGCAATTATAGCCACAATTAATATAAAAGCTGTGTTTCATGTTCACTGGGTTAATAAAAATCCAAATTTAAGTCCAACAGTCGTCTTCCTTTCAGAGCACTGGTTTCTGTCATAAATGCAGAACTAACATTTTATTTGAATGCAAAAACATTGAAATTTTTCTAATATTATGTGAAACTGTAAACCCTGAATATTAGAATGTTTAGAACCTGGAATACTATTTATTAGAATGTTTAGAACCTGGAAAACTATTTATTAAAATGTTTAGGACCTGGAAAACTATTTATTAGCATATCTTTAGAACCTGGAAACTATTTATTAGAAGGTTTAGAACCTGGAAAACTTTTTATTAGAATGTTTAGGACAAGGAAACTATTTATTAGAATATTTAGAACCTGGAAAACTATTTATTAGAATAACAAGAACCCGAAAAACTATTTATTAGAATGTTTAGGACCTGGAAAATTATTTATTAGAATGTTTAGAACCTGGAAACTATTTATTTGAATGTTTAGAACCTGGAAAACTATTTATTTGAATGTTTAGAACCTGGAAAACTATTTATTTGTATGTTTAGAACCTGGAAAAATATTTATTAGAATGTTTAGGACCTGGAAAACTATTTATTAGAATGTTTAGAACATGGAAAACTATTTTTTTGAATGTTTAGAACCTGGAAAACTATTTATTAGAATGTTTAGAACTTGGAAAACTATTTATTAGAATGTTTAGGACCTGGAAAACTATTTATTAGAATGTTTAGAACCTGGAAAACTATTTGCTAGAATATATTTAGAACCTGGAAAAGCATTGTGTACGCATCACTTATCTCTTCTCCCTTCTTTATACTAGATGTTGCAATCACTACAAAATAATCCATTAATTAATCAATCAAACAATTATCAATTATCAAAGGTTTACACCATCAGTTTGCAAAGATGAAGGAATTAGAAAATTCAGTTCCCTTAATGGAATTAAATTAGGTAGTTTTACTAGTTCATATCTGAAGGGGTTCTCTATCATTTGTACTTTTAAAGACAGATTTCTATAAGCTACAGCTTTTCACTTTAGAACCCATAGATTATGCATCAGGCATCATAATTATCATGCATCATGTAGGGTTAAATATTTTCATAAACAAAAATACCTAGCCGCCCCCCCCTCCACCTTTGATGTAAATTTTTTGTTAAAGAAGCTGTAATTTAACATCAGGACTGAGAGAAAGTCAAGCTGAAAACTTTAGAATTGTGGATATCGGGAACAATGCTTGATCTTTTTGCTAATCTTAAGATTATTTTAATCTTCAGTTTGTATCACGGAAAGTTTCTTAAATTTAACCAATCAGAAGGGTGTGTTCAAAATCACAAACAGCCAATCAGAAGCCGGGAAATTTGGAATTTTGCGCACCATTTAATGAAAGAATTCTCATTGGTCGGAATTCAGTAGGGATATCCAAAAAGAGGGAAAAAGAGTGGATTAGGCAGAAATCAAAAGTCTCCAGAGTGTATATTCAGATTTGACGATCGGTATTTAGAGTATTAAATTCCAATAATCTTTAAGTTAACATTTTTAACAAAATTCCTTATTGATAAAAACTGCATGCATTTCATTTAAAACAGTATTCGTGAAATCAAAATATAAAAACATTCTTTTCTCTTTTAAACATAATATTTTAGAAACCATCAACAAAGAGGTTTCCTCGCAATGCTATGCAAACAATTCAAATAAAAAAGAATTCTTAAAATAGATATGGTTGGAATATTCGGAAAACCACTTCAAGGAAAATTGTAAAAAATATTTAAAATTGAGTTTTCAACCAGAACAAAAATGCAATTTAACCAATTATTTGTTTTATCTTTAAACCAACCAGAAAGAACCGGAATTCATTGAAAATCAAACCATCTTGATTTTTAAAATAGTTTACTGCATATATTTTACAATGAAACGCCCTAGTCCTAGTCCTGCAATTTGAAAATGTGGTCTGCCTTTTTTTGTGCATACAAAATTATCAGAGATATAAAGAATTTTGATTATTTTTCATATTATTTATTAAAACGAAATTTTTCTTATTTCTTATCTCCTGTGATTTTGGTAGCACAAAAAATGCTGTTTATGATTATGACTGTACAAATTACAATGAACATGATATTTGATAGAGTTGAACCTGCTGTTGCTGCTCCAATGTTGGCTCTAGTAGTGTTAGGATTACAGGAATGGTTTAACAGCGCTGAATCAAAATATCTAAATCACGTCATTCCTCTTATTTTGAATTGGTGAATTGGCACCTTAAATAACGAGGAATTTTTTTCTAGATATTAGTTTACTGAAGAGAGGTGATCTTTGTTTTAATTTTAATTTTTAACATTCGAGTTACCTTTAAAGGGACTGTACGCGTAACTTTAAGTGACCCTCCATGCAATGAAACTTTTATCTGATCAATAATGTTGAACTTATTTTAGTTTTTGTAGGTTTTTTTTTCATGCGGTAAAAATGCACAATTCACCAAGAAACCACAATGGAAAAAATATTTTTTCAAATTATAATTATAGATATCTCATTTACATTTGCTTGGAGGGTCACTTGAAATTTTGCTAACAGTCCTTTTAATAGCATGCCCAATGCCCATCCCTAGTTGTGAATATGAAGACCATGAGCTAGTGAGGGAGTTATTTAATTAAACTTTAAAACTTTTGTTTCCCATTCTTTTCAATTCAACATTTAATTTGTTTTTCTTGGCTTGAACTATTCAACATTTAATTTGTTTTCTTGGCTTGAACTATTCAACATTCTTGGCTTGAACTATTCAACATTTAATTTGTTTTCTTGGCTTGAACTATTCAACATTTAATTTGTTTTCTTGGCTTGAACTATTCAACATTTAATTTGTTTTCTTGGCTTGAACTATTCAACATTTAATATTTTTACTTGGCTTGAACTATTCTACATTTAATTTATTTTCTTGGCTTGAACTATTCAACATTTAATTTATTTTCTTGGCTTGAACTATTCAACATTTAATTCATTTTCTTGGCTTGAACTATTCAAAATTTAATTTGTTTTCTTGACTTGAACTATTCAACATTTAATTTGTTTTCTTGGCTTGAACTATTCAACAGCAACAAAAAGATCATTTTTTCCAGTTTTATTTATCAAAAATATTTTTTGATTTGTCGTTTGTAACAATCTTTTGTAAAAACAAAATATTTACGGTCGATGTCGTATATATCAATACAATAAAGACGAATTTCGATTTAAATTTTTTATATCACCAAAAACTATTTCTAAATCGTTGGTTTGAACGAACTTGATGATTTCCCGGAACGAACGATCTCAGCGAACAAACGATTTTATTACACGATCATTTTGTTAGAAAGCGAATTAATTATAGATAATTCTGAGAATGAACGAATTCTAAGTTTTACTGAACGACTGACAAAATCTTATTAGATATCGTTATACTGTTAATAAATTATCAAAATAAAGCCAACTACACCAGTCTAGTGCGGGAGTAGGGCCAAGACGGTGCGAACTTATAAAAGTATTCCCAACCACTTCCCTATATATGAGTGTGAGCCAGAACCAATGAAAAGAAATGAAATCTTTAAATTTTATTTTGTCCAAAGTTTTAACAAAATATGCAATAAAAGAAATTAGAATTCAAACTTGAGGACTAAAGTTTGCTTAATGTGAAAAATGAAGTTTTAATCAAAAATCAAATTAAAAAGTTTGTGACTGTGAAACAAACATGCTGGCCCTTTGAAATTGGATCCGTTAAAACTATAGAAAGGAGTTGAGTTTTTGCCACAAACTCAAATTTTCGAATGCCAAAATCTTAGCAACTCGATGGTGTAAACCTTTGATATTTCAAACTTAGATTGTTTTGTCTAAAAACATTCATAGTTTGAAATAGCTAAGGTTTACGACTTTGGGTTGCAAAGATATTGGGATTAGAAAATCAGAGATTGTGACAAAGACTCAATTCCTTTGGAGAAAAGAATCGTTTTTATTCAGATATTTAGTTTCCTAGTGTTGGATTGACAGCGCAACCAATGTTGGTGATTTCAACACCCTTTTCCTCCTCCCACTAAAAATAGATATTTTATACAGCGAGACCCATAAATCTGTGGAAAAAGAAAGATATAATTCTTATGTTGTTTTAAAGCAAATATTTTGACCTGTAGCTCAAAAAACAACGTATAAAGCGGATCTTACAATCGTCTCCTTTTCCACTGTTTTCTGTATGATGATTTGCCCCAAAAAACTATGCGCTTTAAAGGGAGTGTTCGCGAAAAATGAAAGGGGTTATAGGCTTAATGCGATAAAAAAGCGCTTTTGATTGTTAAAGACGTCTCATACCGAATAACTTAGCGTCCATGCAAATTGAGAAAATTGCAACATATGACACACACCGTAAAAAAATAAATTTAATTTTAAACAAATCATTCAGATATTACAACCTATAGTCATCAATTATCTTTTACCACATTTGTATTTAGTTTATATTTTATTAGTTATTCGGTATGAGACGTCTTTATCAATTTTCTCCTTATAGACGCAACAGATAGAATTAAGATTAGTAGCGATCAAAAGCGCTTTTTTATCGTATAAAGCCTATACCCCCTTTCATTTTTCGCGAACACTCCCTTTAACTTTGGATTTTTCAACGCCTTGGTTTATGGGTTAACTGCAATTACTCTACTCACAATTCCTGCTTTTTGCTTCCTAACTCTTCAAACAAGGATAAAGTATCAAAACCCATATATATGCGTTGAAAAATACAAAGAGTTACCGTTTCAATATGTTGTCCCATCTGTTTAATATGGAAGGGGGACTTTATGTTTCAGTTTTTAGGGGGGTAGGGGGGAGGGTCAACATCAGTACCCCCCCTCCTTTTAGATTAAAAAATTCCCCCCCCCCCCTCCTTTTAGATTAAAAAATTACCTTGCTGGCCTCTGCAATGGCGTGAGTATTGAATTGTAAAACCTCAAGAATATGATAAAGAAGTTTCCCTACAATCATACACCACTCTAAACTAGACATAAGAAGAGGGTCAAATGTATGCGACATTACTTTGTGACCTCGTAGCTCCTCCATAGTTTTTACTTTACTCACAAGTATGATGTATCAGGAAGCAAATTGTTGTGATATTTTTTACATTTTTCAAGGCTGCAGTTTTAAATATAAAAAAAACTTTTAAAATTAGAGGGGTTTATGTTCAATTAGATATTATTTGCGTTTAAAGATTAATTACACAGAACATTGAATTTACTAAAAAATCCACTTATTTACATTAACTGTAACGTATTTATGTTTCACTTTGAAGATATTCTGAACAAAACTCGGATGGGAGTATAAACCTTTTCCATGCTTTGTGCTGATTTATTTTTTCAGGAAGTTTTCAAAGTACAGAATTACATTGAGATCTAAATAAGTTTGAGAATATATTTTTAATAGGATGTTGACGGGATTTCAATTGACCTTTAATTCTGACAAAGGTTGTAGATTATGGGACCATTGTTAATCGTGGATGGTAATGCTGAATGTTTAGTGTGCCTATATAAAGCTCAGGAGGACTCAGCTCTCTGTCTGACTCTCTTGAAGTATGGGAACCAAAGTAGTTGTTGATCTAAACAAATAATTATGTTTTCAATTGCCACAAACTCTAATTCCTTTGCAACCCAATATTTCAAACTATGAATTCTGTTATATCAAATAATCCAAATTTGAAATATCAGAAATTATCCGATTCCAAAAATATATAAATGAGAAAGCAAATTTCAGCTTCTCCCACGGTCAGAACTTTTAAAACGTTCGTAATTTATCTTGAAAGTCATGAAAAACAAATCCACCATTTTGATCAGCATATATCTTTATGGGGATTTGAATTAGAGGCAAAGATAAAAATAATTTTAAAAATGATATAGGTCGACTTTGTAGAAAATGGTAAAACCCAGCAGGAGCATTTAATAAACGAATTATCAAATCTGTTTATCATGATTTTAAGATAGTTTTTAGATGTTTTGAATCTTTAAATCTGACCATGATATGAAACTTAAATGGGATTTAGCATATATTTCTCTATTTTCACCGAGCTAAATAACCTACAAACCAAGCCAATTTTTTCTTTTGTATTTTTTTTTCTGGGATGTACACATTAGATTTAATTCTCAATGTGAATTAACCATGTAATGGTCAGATTTGTTGTCCAAAAGGTCTAATATTTGAGTAGTGTCAGCAAAGCGGCATACTCATAAAGGAAAACGACGACTGTACTGTCTTTTTTTCTGACAATCTTGGTTCCCCGCAAGTTCGCGACTGTAAACTTTTTTAAAAATCATGATGTATATCTATTTAAGAATGAATATTTAAAATAAAATATTGTAAAATACGTCTTTGTCCCTAATCTTACCAAATCCCGGCAAAATTTATATATGTTCTGTTGTGTATTTTGAATAGAGACCTGGGCGCGTTCTTTTTTTTATTTAATTCATTCGTTCTTAAAAGACCCATTTCGTTTTTTTCAATCGTTTTAAAAATTGTTCGTTCAATAAAATCGTTCGTCCAGTAAAAAACTTTCGTTTTTTAAAGTTCGTTCGAATGTTCTTAAAGCATTCGTTTTTTTCTTTTTTCGTATACAAGTAGTTCGTCCATCATTCGATTTTAATGAACGACACCATCGTTCACGAAAAATTTAGTACGTTCACAAAAACGGTACTCATCTCTACTGTTGTATACTGTGAAAGAGATAATACAGCGGGATAAATATTTGGAATATAAAGAAGGGAATCTGAGGAGGAAAGAAAGTTGTACAGAGAGGGAAGATGGTGATGGGGGGGGGGGGGTGCAAACAGATTTTTTAAAATATGATTTAATTGTAAAAAAAACTTTGTAAGGTTTGTAAGTTTTAATTCTTCAAACCTGGGAATTACTTTTCTGACTTGAAGGGTTTATTTGCAAGGAAATTATATTTTTTATAATAAACTTGAAACTGAACAAAAACTAATCTTCTCAAGGTTTCGTCCACCAAAACTTTCTAATGTTTAAAATATGTTTAAAACTTGAATCTTAAACCGAATTTAATAAAAATGGAGAGATCGCTGAACTACCTACACCAGTTCAAATCCTGAATCACTGATTCAACCCGTCATGTATCTATAAATTTGGATCGGTGATCAGCGGTAGATATTTTAGTTTAGCGATCTAGCTCAAATTTAAAATCTTCTTACTTTTCTTAGTGACCTTTATGCCAAAAAAAATAGTTTTAAAATTAAAAAATGCCACCCTTCCCTTTTCACTTTGACATAGTTCTTGAAATGAAAATAATTTTATGTGTGAGAGTTAGTTCATTAGAGTTGCAAGGTTTGTTTATTTGTGAGAGTCAGTTCAGTAAAGTTGCAGAGTTCTTAAAAGGAATTGTGTTTTTTTCACAAGATCAAATTTTCTAATATTTCTTTGCAACCGTAGACCTTTGATTTCTGTTTGTTTGAAATATCAAAGGTTTACACAATAAGATTGCAAAGAGCATAATATGCATGGCATTTTTTACACACACAAAGGGTTTTTTAACTGAATAATTCCAAATTTAAAAGGTTCATATTCATGTATATACTTTGCTTGTCTGTCTGTTTGTATCCAATAAACGAAAAAACAGCTGTACTGATCGGGCCCAAATTTTGTTGCAGTGGGACCTCACATGACCCCAGGGAATGTTTATGGATTATCAAATTACAAAACTTGCTTTAAACAAAATTCGATTTTCATAAAAAAAATTTAAAACCATGAAAAAATATTTTAAAATCCACGATCTTTTTTTTGTTTTGTTTTATAATGTGTATACAAAGAGAAAATGTTCGCAATTTAAATAGGAGATGGGCGCGAAGCCCTCTAAAAGCCTATGAAAATAAGAAGTATTTACCTTAAGGTAGTACAACAACAAACAGGCAGAAGTTGAATAAGCTAAGAAAAAAATAACTGTTTTTAAAAATACTGTTATTTTGGTTCAGAAAAACTTTATAACACGTTGTGCCAAGATAAAAGTGTTATCTATAATTTTATGAAATGTTTGTAAACTCGTTTCAATGCCATGGTTAGTTCTTGATATATTAAGTTTTAAAAGAAAACAGAAATAAAAAATAAAAGTCAGTTTTAATTTCATTTTCACATAAACTAAAAAGAGAGCTAGATATATTCTAAAATTTTAGAGAAAAAAAAATGAGAATATAAAAAGAACAAAAAAATAAAATAAAAAAATGATGTTGGGTACTTTCCCAAATGATTTCCCCCAAATTACAACTTCCCAAGGGTATTTTCACAAGTGGCAACTTCCCAAATGTGGAATTTACCAAACGGCAACTTCCCAAGTCTGTCCTAGCTGCAGCGATCGGCCCCCATTGCAGCCTACGGCGCCTCAGAGGGCCAAACCTAACCTGTGGGAAGTTGCTACTTGGGAAATTGCACATTTGGGAGTCTCCCTTGGAAAAATGCCTTTGGGAAAGTACCTAACACCAAAAGTATTACCTAAATGATCAGCGTTAGTCATCTGTTCAGAGTGTGTAACCAGATTGTAAAGGTTCTGATAATCATTTGATCTAAAATATAAAATAAAAAACTTTTTTTGTCCATTGACTTCAAAGCTTTATTAATTGTTCTTGTTTAAAATTGGGAAATAAACAAATAAATATTTTAATAAACGTTGTTTACAGATAGATACAACGTCAGTAATCACCCTGACACATAAAGCTATGGAATAAAAAGACGACCTGTTTAGTTTTATCTACCTGTACGGGGAAGACGACCTGTATAAATTATCTACCTGAACAGGGCAGACGACCTGTTTAATAGTATCTACCTGTACGGGGAAGACGACCTGTTTAATATTATCTATCTGTACAGGACCTATATATATTATCTCCTGAACAGGGCAGACGACCTGTTTAATAGTATCTACCTGTACGGGGAAGACGACCTGTTTAATATTATCTATCTGTACAGGACCTATATATATTATCTACCTGTACGGGGAATACGACCTGGATATATTATCTACCTGTACGGGGAATACGACCTGTATATATTATCTACCTGTACGGGGAAGACGACCTGTTTAATATTATCTATCTGTACAGGACCTATATATATTATCTACCTGTACGGGGAAGACGACCTATATATATTATCTACCTGTACGGGAAAGACGACCTGTATATATTATCTACCTGTACGGGGAATACGACCTGGATATATTATCTACCTGTACGGGGAAGACGACCTGTATATATTATCTACCTGTACGGGGAAGACGACCTGTATACATTATCTACCTGTACGGGGAATCTATCTCATGAGATTCATCTTCAGATTCAGGTTCAGTGTCTCCAGATTCTAAATTGATCAGGGATTGATGAAAGGTTACAAATTGATCAAATCTAATTGATTAAATGAACTTTATAAAACTTAATCTCAAGTGACTCCTCTTTCAAAGATGGCAATGCCCATTTTAGAACAGAACCCTTGAAAACATAATATAATCACAATTGTGGAAGATGACATCGTTCTTCTGATTCAAAAGTGTTTATTTCTGATAATTTGTGCAATTGTCACTTTCGCAAAGAACTTACAAAACAAGCAGATTACAGAAACAAAACATGGATATCTAATTTATTCTTAACCAGAAAAAAACTTTAAAGGATATCATTGTAAACTTGTAGATCGGTCATTGTCATCTTCGCATAGAGGGTCACTTTAAGTAATGGTTTATTTTAAGTTTATGTATCAAAGTTATGTATTGAAGTTTGTTTTCATGAAAGAAGAATGGAATGCTCAAAGATTGTGGATAGATCAAAGATCAATCTTTGATTAAATGATCTGTGTTTGATAAAAGTATATGAATTGTTCAAGTATAATTGGTCAAAATTTAAATTGATCAAAAATGGATTACTTAACAAAGATTATGAATTGATCAAAGTTTATGAATTGATCAATCAAAGATTATGAATTGATCAATCAAAGATTATGAATTGATTAAAGGTAATGAATTGATAAAAGTTTATGAATTATGAAAGGATATGAATTGATTAAAGTTTATGAATTTATTAAAGTTTATGAATTGATTAAAGTTTATGAATTTATTAAAGTTTATGAATTGATTAAAGTTTGTGAATTGATTAAAGTTTATGAATTTATTAAAATTTATGAATTGATAAAATTTTATGAATTGATTACAGTTTATGAATTGTTTAAATTTATGAATTGATTAAAGTTTATAGATTGATCAATCAAAGATTATGAATTGATGAAAGGTTATGAATTGATTAAAATTTATAAATTGATTAAAATTTATAAATTGAATATTAAGGTTTATGAATTGGTTAAAGTTTATGAATTGATAAAAGTTTATGAATTAATTAAATTTATGAATTGATAAAAGTTTATGAATTGATTAAAGTTTATGAATTGATTAAAGGTTACAAATTGATCACAGTTTATGAATTGATTAAAATTTATGAATTTATGAAAGTTTTTGAATTGATTAAAGTTTATGAATTGATAAAAGTTTATGAATTGATTAAATTTATGAATTGATCACAGTTCATAAATAGTTCAACTACCATGGAATGCTAAATTTTTAATATTGATCAAAGTTTATAGTTTATTTGGGAAAAATATACTGGATATCCTAGAAAATGTGCACCTCGCTAAAGTGTTTTTACAGAAGATGCAATTTTCTTTTAAAAATTAAAGTGCTTTTAGGAAAAATAAAACTCAATTTACTGATACAATTCATGATTGGGAGATCTTTGCAATTAATTGATTAATTGATTAATTAAAGAATACGATCCTTGATTAATTGATTAATTACCTGAATCTGATTCATATTGATATTGATAACATCCAGCCGCACGATGAAAGTCATACTGTGCATAGACAAGCAAAATAAAACAATAAAAATTAGAACTTTTGTGTTGGACATTGGATTTCGAGATCAAGAGTTAAACATTAACATATAATCAACACAATAGATTCTTAAGAGGGAACTCTCTTAAATCTGTGACCGCCCCCCCCCCCTTCGGCCTTCTGTGTTCTAATCAACTAGGCAACCTCCTGTTGGATATATAGTCTTAGCGCTCGGCCCTCTGACCTGTCTACGTTTCAGTGCATGACTCCCTGGCCAGTATTAGCTACAGAGTGCAAGGCTTCCTGGCCTGTCTTATCTACAGCCCTCGGCTCCGTGACATGTTTTAGCTACAATGCACGACTCCCTGACCAGTCTTAGCTACAGCGCAAGGCTCCCTGTCCTGTCTTAACTACAGTGCACGGCTCCTTAACCTGTCTTAGCTACAGTGCACGGCTCCCTGACCTGTCTTAGCTACAGTGCACGACTCCCTAACCTGTCTTAGCTACAGTGCACGGCTCCTTGACCGGTCTTAGCTACAATGCACGGCTCCCTGACCTGTCTCAGCTACAGTGCACGGCTTCCTGGCCTGTTTTAGCTACAATGCACGGCTCCCTGACCAGTTTCAGCTACAGTACACGGCTTCCTGGCCTGTCTGAGATACAATGCACGGCTCCCTGACCTGTCTCAGCTACAGTACACGGCTCCCTGACCAGTCTTAGCTACAGTGCACGGCTCCCTGGCCTGTCTCATCTTCATTATACGACTCCCTGTCCTGTCTTAGCTACAGTGCATGGCTCCCTGTCCTGTCTTAGCTACAGAGTGCATGGCTCCCTGGCCTGTCTTAGCTACAGTGCAAGGCTCCTTGACCTGTCTTACCTAGAGTAAATATAAACTGTCAGAAATAAGCCAAACCTAAACTTAAACTAAGCCCTTGCTTCCTACTGTATAGATCTACAGAACGCTGACCAAAGAAATATTGAGGTTTTAGCAGAAAATAAACTTCTCAAATCTGGAATTAATATCGCTTAATCATTGGAAATCCCAAAAGTACGAGGTTTGAGGTTGCGTAATAAGGATGAGACTTAGGTTAAAATAAAAAGTGTTACAACAAAATATTTAAAAAAAGGAAATATTCAGTATTGCGGCATCTTTCCTTTGAGAAGAGATCAGTGTGCGAGATAAAGTATTTCAAAGGTTTCTAGAATCAGATTACGATAAAATATGAAAATTTGTATAAAAAGAAAAAGAAATAGGAAAGAAAAATGAAGGAAGTATCCTTCAACATGAATCTAATAAAACCGAGCATTAGCAGAGAACCAAGTTTAAGATAGATTTGGTTTATAGTTAAAATTGGTTAAAACCAATTTCATAGATTCATAAATTGTAAATTTCATAAAAACGGTTAAATAAAGTTAAAATTTAGAACATTCCTTAATCATAGATTCATAGATTGTAAATTTCATAACACGTTCAAAAGTTTTTAAAATATTATGAAATCATGAAAAAAATTTCAGTGCCAAGGTTCTGGATATATCAAGAAAAATAAACGCAATATAAAAATTTTATATTATTGTAAATTTTGAAATTTTAGAAATCCAATGAATTAAATATGCGTTTATCGTTGGTTGAATTAAATCTGTATTCTTAAGAATTTATGAGAAACTAGGCAGGAATTAGACTCAAGCAGAACACCGGGGATAAGTAAGACTCGAGCTGAAAGGGACCGTTCACTTATTTGGATAATTTTAGGGTAAATTACCCAAATAAGTGAAGTAAGTTATTTAAAATAAATTTCTTAGAAAAATACAAAAAATTTAAATTTTAAATAGGAAAAACTCACTGCAATAAATTAAAATGGGATCGAAAGTTATGGTATGCAAAAAAATGAATCATTTTTGGGGAAAAAAATCATATTTTATTTCCTGTGAAATAGCTCTGTACGCTACAAATATGTTCTGATATATCGATGTAACTGCCTCCAGCGTCTAAATATTTAGCAATGTGTTTAACCAAGATTAAGGGATATTGGGGATATCCGTTAAGATATTGATCAAAATTTCTTACTATTCTTCAATGTAAATAACAGACGAATTATAGAAAAATTGTTTAATCCCTCAAAATTACCATTTAGGCAAACTATGTAGAAAGAGTTTGAAAAAATAATATAAAAAATGTCTAGTCTCACCTTACACTCATATTGATGAAACTTTTTCCAGGCATCTTGCCGACATTCATCTTTACAACAAAGGCAAAATATGAAGAAAAAAATTGTAATGAGCTTTAGAAGTTAACTCTTATCCATATATCTTTGAAACCTGAGAGAATATAATAAAATGCTAGAATTAAGAACAGAATATTAGTATTAAAGTGACTAACACACAATTTTAAGCAACCCTTCAAATATATAGAAAGTGTTTGATTCACAATGGTACCCCTAAAAGTAGATATCCATGTATGATTCACAATGGTACCCCTAAAAGTAGATATCCATGTATGATTCACAATGGTACCCCTAAAAGTAGATATCCATGTATGATTCACAATGGTACCCCTAAAAGTAGATATCCATGTATGATTCACAATGGTACCCCTAAAAGTAGATATCCATGTATGATTCACAATGGTACCCCTAAAAGTAGATATCCATGTATGATTCACAATGGTACCCCTAAAAGTAGATATCCATGTATGATTCACAATGGTACCCCTAAAAGTAGATATCCATGTATGATTCACAATGGTACCCCTAAAAGTAGATATCCATGTATGATTCACAATGGTACCCCTAAAAGTAGATATCCATGTATGATTCACAATGGTACCCCTAAAAGTAGATATCCATGTATGATTCACAATGGTACCCCTAAAAGTAGATATCCATGTATGATTCACAATGGTACCCCTAAAAGTAGATATCCATGTATGATTCACAATGGTACCCCTAAAAGTAGATATCCATGTATGATTCACAATGGTACCCCTAAAAGNATATAAATATAAATATGTTTCATAATATAAATATAAATATAGATTGAAACAATCATATATTGGTAAAGCAGGAAAAGCAGGCTTAAACTACAAAATAAATTGCGATTCTTTATTTCAGATATTTCTTGCTTTGTAGTTGGGAAAAAATATCATGTTAAAATATATTAGAACATCAAACAAAATTCTGAATTTTGGCCTTTTCCTGAGCAAAATATTACAAGAGAACAAGTGAAACAGGGAACAGGAGCAGACACTGGGAGGAAACAGGAACTACAGTGGGTTAACAGCTAAATATCAAGACAGTGGGTTAATACAGTTTCATATAAACACAGTGGGTTAACGGCTAAATATAAAGACAGTGGGTTAATACAGCTTTATATAAACACAGTGGGTTAACAGCTAAATATCAAGACAGTGGGTTAACAGCTAAATATAAATACACTGGGTTAATAGCTAAATATAAATACACTGGGTTAACAGCTAAATATCAAGACAGTGGGTTAACACAGCTTCATATAAATACAGTGGGTTAACAGCTAAATATAAATACAGTGGGTTAACAGCTAAATATCAAGACAGTGGGTTAACACAGCTTTATATAAATACAGTGGGTTAACATCTAAATATAAATACAGTGGGTTAACAGCTAAATATACATAAATTAATGCAGTGGGTTAACAGCTTCATATAAATACAGTGGGTTAACAGCTAAATATACATAAAGTAATGTAGTGGGTTAACAGCTTCATATGATACAGCGGCTTAACAGCTAAATTTAAATGCAGTGTGTTAACAGCTAAGTGTACTTAAAGTAATGAAGTGGGTTAACAGCTTCATATCAATACAGTGGGTTAATACAGCTTCATATAAATACAGTGGGTTAATACAGCTTTATATAAATACAGTGGGTTAACAGCTAAATATCAAGACAGTGGGTTAATACAGCTTTATATAAATACAGTGGGTTAACAGCTTAATATCAAGACAGTGGGTTAACACAGCTTCATATAAATAAAGTGGGTTAACAGCTAAATATCAAGACAGTGGGTTACTACACCTAGTCATCTATATCTAAATTCTATTTTTTATGTAAATGTATACAACGTGTGTCATTTAAGTCTTATAGTCTAATAAACCGTGTTTACTGTTTGATCTACACAATTAATTATGTAAATCATAATCCAGATCATCAAACAGGATGAATGTAGGGCACAATCATACAAAGTGAACCTTAGACATGTAGGGTACAATCATACAGGGTGAACCTTAGAAATGTAGGGCACAATCATACAAAGGGAACCTGAGACATGTAGGGCACAATCATACAGGGTGGACCTTAGAAATGTAGGGAACAATCATACAAAATGAATCTTAGAAATGTAGGGCACACTCATACAGGGTGAACCTTAGAAATGTAGGGCACAATCATACAAAGTGAACCTTAGAAATGTAGGGCACACTCATACTGGGTGAACCTTAGAAATGTAGGGCACAATCATACAGGGTGGACCTTAGAAATGTAGGGCACAATCATACAGGGTGGACCTTAGAAATGTAGGGCACACTCATACAGGGTGAACCTTAGAAATGTAGGGCACAATCATACAGGGTGGACCTTAGAAATGTAGGGCACAATCATAAAGGGTGAACCTTAAAAATGTAAGGCACACTCATACAGGGTTGAACCTTAGAAATGTAGGGAACAATCCTAAAGGGTGAACCATAGAAATGTAGAGCACACTAATACAAGGTGAACCTTAGAAATGTAGGGTACACTCATACAGGGTGAACCTTAGAAATGTAGGGCACAATCATAAAAAAAATAAAGCAAAAAATTAGATTATTTATAAGTTTGCTTTATTTGCCTCAAGCAAAACTTTTCTCTGAACAAATATATTCAACAAAAGGACTTATCAAAAAGATTTTACCAATTATTTGGTTGAAAATATTGACTAAGTAAACTTTTTAATGGTGCAATAAAAGGAAACTTTTGAAAACAGATCTTTTTTAAGCCACTTAACAGTCAAAAACTTAGAACGTTTAAAAAGTGAACCATTAAATTGAAATTTAAAAAAATATTATACAGGGTGTCCCAAAAANTTTCCACCCCCCCCCCCCCGCCTTATATTTTAAAGAAAAAAAATTCATTATGTTTCTTTAATGTTTCTGACCAGGAAGTTGGGAAGAAATCACTGAAGAAGTTTTAAATAAAATATCTCAAATATTCATCGGAGACCCCTAGACCTTAATAGGAAATTCTAACCTGGTCAATGTACTTCAAACAGCTTTTCAATAGAGACCCTTCATTTAATAGACACGCTTTTATTTCATGTGTGGGGGTCTCCTATTATTATTTTTAGGTTTTCAAGTAAACTGCAGGGTTGGCTTTTGATAAAATTTTGTGGGACTCCAATGGAAAACTTATGACATTATAGACACATCTTTACAGTCTTTTACCGTTTTCATAAAATAAACTCTAGCAGACATAATATTATGGCTTTAGAAATTAGGTATTACAATGCTAATTCATAACAAAGACGATATCGAGTTCGTCACTGAATTCCCATGTTTTTTTGGGACACCCTGTAACAAAATTTTTGACTTTGTGATTTTTACCTGATCAGCCCAGAGAAAGCTGATGATTGGTTTTTCAAAAGCTAAAAAAGTTCCACATTTTATATTTTCTGTCGCAACAGCATGTCGACCTCTGAAATGATAAAATAGAATTTTTGATATTTATTCCCCCATCCCTTCCCCCTTTACTTCTTCAATATTTTTAATAAAAATAGCATAGAAAAGTTGGAAACTTATTTAAATTTATTCAAAGAAAATATCAGCAATTTTTTATTTATATTTCAAAGAGAAAAAATTCATTATGTTTCTTTGATGTTTCTGACCAGGAGACTGGGAAGAAATTATTGAAGAAGTTTTTCATAAAATATCTAAAATTTTCATCGGAGACCCCTAGACCTTAATAGGAAATTCTAACCTGGTCAATGTACTTCAAACAGCTTTTCATTGGAGACCCTTCTTTTATTAGACACGCTTTTATTTCATCGGAGACCCAACACGTTATGGACGAGATCAACGGAATATGATTGCTATCCAAAGAAAAATAATAATTATAATAATAATAATAATAAAAATAATAATAAT